TAACAATAGTGACAACAACAACAACCATAACAACTCCTATTTAACCTCACATAGCAGCTTGTTTGCCTCTCTACAATGTACTCAACATGGAATATTGACTATTATAGCTGTCAGTCACTCCCCTGTTAAACTGGAAACTCCCTGAAGGCAAGGGCTGAGTCTTATCTGAATTTTGTGTCTCCCCCCTAGTGCTCTGCACCCAGGACTCCCTTGTGTTTGCTACACTGAACAAAACTGAACCTAAACTCAGAGCATTTTGTATTTTTCTTATACCCTTGGCCATTCATCCAGTAGTAAGAACATAAGATTTGTAATCCAGAGACATGGATTTGAATTCTTGTTCTGGCCACTCTCTAGCATCATGTCCTTATATAAGGGTATTCACCTTCCTAAGCTTTAATTTCTTCATCTATTAAATGGGAAGAATATCCCTTAATTTTTCGGGCAGTTTGGAGGAAAATATATGGCCCTAAATGCATAATTTCTGAGAACTATCCTATGAGTACTATGTATAAATAATAATTGGGCCTCACGTTATAGAGTAAAGAGGACTGGATTTGGAGTCTTTCAACTTCAGCTTCATTATCTATAAAATGGGGAATGTATCAGAATTTAAACTTCCTATGAGTAGGAATTATTTCAGTCTTTGTATTAATATCCCCAGAATACTAGCATGGTGCTTGGCATATTGTAGGCATTTAATAAATGATTGTTGATTGATTAATTGATTAGAATAATAATACTTACACTACTTTTCTCCTGTTAAGACAAAATGAAATGAAATGTAAAGCATGCTATAAGTGAAAGCTAGTATTATTATTTCTTTTTGACCTATTTTTTTAAGACTTCATAAATCATAGACTCATAGAGTTGGAAGGTAATTCACAGGTCAGGTAGTTTCCTACCAAATAAAAATATCCTTAATAATATCTCCAGTAAGTAGTCATCTATCTTCTGTTTGAATGAAGCCTGTTGCATCATGGGACCACTCTGCCTGGGTAAGGGCAAAGTCATCCTTGTGTTGAGCTCAAAAGATGGTTCTCTTCACTTTCCACCTCTGGCTCCTAGTTCTGCTACCCTGGGGATAAGCAGGACAATGACATGTCTTCCACTCAATAGACCTTTAAATACATCAGGACATGAATTGTGTCTCCCTGTAAATCTTTTCTTCTCTTGGCTAAGCATCCATAAGTTCCTTCAATTCTTCCTCCCCATAAGAAAACTGGTGTGCGTGCATGTGTGTGTGTGTGTGTGTGTGTGTGTGTGTGTGTGAGAGAGAGAGAGAGACAGAGAGAGAGAGAGACAGAGAGACAGAGAGAGAGACAGAGAGACAGAGAGAGATGAAATGGTGACAAAGAGCTCAGCATTGCATATGTCTAATTATCTTTCTGGGGGAGGAAAAAAAGAAAAAGGGTGGTAGTTTCTATAAACTCTCAGTTCACCTCCAGGAAAGCAGACTGAACACTAGCCCAGGTGGCCCATTGAAGAAAGGGGAGGAGGAAAGAGAGGCCGGGGTAATGCAGAGATTTGCCAGCTGGTGAAAGGTGATGAGAGGGAGGGATCAATAGGCCTTTCAGGTTTATGTAAAGGGCTGAGAGCGACTCAATGATACGGAGGTGGAGCAATGTTTAGGACATTCTGTCTTAGTATGCTAGAACACTGCTGGTCCAAATTAGAAGCGACTTTAGGAAACAGAAAGTTAGACCATAGAAATAGAAATAGAAAGTTAGAATGTAGTATGTTGGATCTGGAAGAGACATTGAATTTGAAAACAGAAAATTGAATATTAAGCTAGGATGAGACCTTAGAACATAGAAAACAGGACATGATGCTAGCACATCCAGCTAAATGTGGGGGTTGCAAACCTGGATGAAAGGAAATATAGTAGTATACTGAGCATAAATAGTGAAGAGTGGAAGAAGGGTGTGTTTGGGGGGAAAGATAATGGTTTCTGTGGCATTTAAATACATTACCCTGGAGATGTCTATGAGACATCGAGTTTGAAATGTCCAATAGGCAGCTGATATGGGACTAGAGCACAGGAGACCATTTGAGATAATAGATGTAAAGTATTTTGCAAATCTTAAAGCTCTCTCCATAAATGTTAGTTGAATGGGAGGGAGGGTACTCCTCCACATCAATTAATATAATCAGTTCAAGAGCATGACAAAGTTTGTTAAATAATATTTTATTTTTCCCCAAATTATACGTCAAAACAACTCTTAGCATTTGTTGTTGTTTTATTAAAGTTTTGAGTTCCATATTCTATCCCTCTCCTCCCCCTTCCCTGAGATGGTAAGCAATCTGATACAGGTTATACATGTGCAATTGTGTAAAACATTTCCATATTAGTCATTTTGTACAAGAAGACTTAAACAAAAAAAATGGAAAGAAAAAAGAGAAAGAAAATGAAAAATGGAATGCTTCAGTCCGTATTTAGACAATATCAGTTCTTTCTCTGGAGGCTGATTGCATTTTTCATCATGAGTCCTGTGTAAATAAGCTACTCTAAGCCCTGTTACCTTTACCAAGTTCCAAGACTCTTTTATTGGGTCATAGAATCAATCAATCAATGGACCCAGAATATAACCACAAAGTAGAAACCAGGTGTTATGGACTTCTCTTATAGTTCCACCACAACATGCTCCAGAAGGTTATAGAGCTTTAACCATTGTACAACACCTCACAGGAAACAACTTGTTATTGGCTATGAGAATCAGATTTGCTGCTGGGCTTGTGAATAAAATAGCAAGTCAGTCCAGGTGTCAGCCAGTGGGGGAGGGGGAGACTCCAAGTTTGAAAATTAGAGCCAGAATTGGGGGGGGGGGGGAACCAAAGCCCAGAGAAAGAATACATCTTTGTTGGGAGGTGGGAGAGGAGACAGAAGAGATTTTTCTTTCCTCTTCCCTTATTAACCAAGTCTTCATGTCACTGGGGATATTGGACCAGTAGGAGACAACGCTGCTTCCTCCCTGGGGTAACTCTCTTTCAATATTTGTGTCTGTGTCCAGAAAGACACAACAACATTGAGGACAGATGCAAATACAGAGAGTCACCCAGGGGAAGAATCAGCTTCAAGGAGCATGACCCTTTGTTCCAGAGCAGAATGCTGGCTACAGTGCTCAAGAAAGGACTTTCAGGCTATAAAGTAATAGCAGTAGTTGTGTGCCCTTTGCCACGCATGGAGAAAGAGAGAGAGGAGAGAGAGACAGAGGGGAGAAAGGGGAGAGAGAGAGAAAGGAGAGAAGAGAAAGAGAGAGAGGAGAAAGAGGGAAAAGAGGGAGAAAGAGGAAAGAGAGAGAAAGGAGAGAGAAAAGAGAGAGGAGAAAGAAGAGAGAAGAAAAAGAGAAAGAGAGAGGAGAGAGAGAAAGAAGAGAGAGAGAGAGAGAGAGAGAGAGAGAGAGAGAGAGAGAGAGAGAGAGAGAGAGAGGAGAGAGCGAGAAAGGAGGGAGAAAGAGAGAAAGAGAGAGAGAAAGGAGGAAGGGAGAGAGAGACAGGAGAGAAAGAGAGGATCCACCCCAGGTTTTCTAGGAGACTGCCTTTTACCAGCAGTTTTTACTATATACCATCTTAGTAAATACCATTGCTAAAAACTAATTGTTTACTGGCTGGCTGTTAATGAGAACCATACTTAAGATGGATCACCAGCTATGTTAGTTCTCTAAAGACCCAACCTGCAAGTGGGAGGCCAGGTTGGGGAGAGTGGTCCTAAACAGTGTAGAGACTGTTATTATAGAGAGATTTGGGATTCATTTGCATAATGATGATAATTAAACCCATGGAAGCTGATGACATCACCAAGAGAAAGTGCATGTGTGTGTGTGTGTGTGTGTGAGAGAGAGAGAGAGAGAGAGAGAGAGAGAGAGAGAGAGAGAGAGAGAGAGAGAGAGACTCACAGGGAGTGTGATATGGATGATAAATAAACAAAGAATACTTCAGATTAGTAGTCAGGCAGATAGGAAGAGAACAGTGTGAAAACAAGCTAGATGAAGGATAAATTGGAGATAGTTAGAGATAGTCAACAAAGGGAACACACTAGAATTAAGGGAGATTGGGAAAGGCTTCCTGTAAAAGGTGGGATCTTAGCTGTGACTTGAGGAAAGCCAACAAGTGAAGATGAGGGGGGAAAGAATTCCAGGCATGTGTACAAGGAATAACAGTTCCCAGAGTTGGGAGAGGGAGCAGCTTGTACAAAGAAACACATCTAATAAGTTTTTTGTTGTATTGTAGAAGTTAATATCTAAGATTCTAAAATTCTAATTTTCTGTGATTCTAGCATTGACTCTAAGAGTTTATCATTCTATTCTTAACATACCGACTGATTCCATAATTGTCAAAATCTGGTTCTAACGTTTTCTGATTCTGTAATTTTAAAAGCCTAAGATTTTTTTTATTCTAATGACTGTTCCCTAACAGTACAATTCCAGAATCAGATAGAATATATTCTGTTGGAGAACCAACTTATAAAGGCACATAGAAGCCAATCACCAGTGAGCTGGCCATCAGGTGAGGCATTCTTTGGCTATGGCAATCCATGAAGCAAAGAAAAAATGTAAATGGCCCTCTTCAGCTTCTGAATTGATGAGAGCAGAGTGGTAGAAAAGGGAGCCGACAGTGTGCCAAGAATAACACCATTTTTAGAATGTCTGGGAACATTAAGTTAATTGTTAGTACTCTAAATGTGAGATCTTTGTCAAATGTTCAGTCAATCACCATGCCATTATATAGACTGAACCACGTCAATACCGATATTCTCAAAATATAAATAAAACCAAAAGACATAAGATAGTTACAGCTACATAGAAGGATGGTTCAAAGGCTCTGATTGGAGAGGCAAACCAAGAAGTTGATGGAGTTGCTTTCGTCTTGCACCAAAAGCAGCAAGGAATTTAAGTTGAGATGGGACACATCTCGACTTAAAGAGCTCATAATAAACATAAGCAAAAAAGACCATCTTCTGTGATGTCATAAGGATAAAGAACTTCACAAAATTCTATAAACCAAGTCAGCGTTTACTTTGATGCTCAGTGACTCCAACACAAAGATCTGGCACAGGAGAGGATGGCAAAAGGTATGCTGAAACATGTAGCACAGATCCGAGAAACAGAAGGCAAATGCTTGTGAACTATGTAACAGTCTGTGTGCGTGCGTGTGTGTAATGAATGCCTTTTTACAGAAGAGACCTAGAAGGTACTGAACATGACAAACATTGACTATCTCCAAAAAAGATATTGACAATATTATAGAGGGCACACCATCTGCCCCTTTTTTCTAACACTCTGCTATCTTCAATTCAGAAGCAGAAGAGGGCCATTTGCATTTTTTCTTTGCTTCATGGATTACCACAGCCAAATATATATTATTATGACAATATTATAAGGAAATGATTGGCTACTGATGTAAGAGTTATAGGAGAATCAGCTGTCTGGATGCATGGAAACCATCTAACTAGACAGGGGAAGGTCAAAATTAGCATCAAACTATAAAAAGTTTAAATATTAGAAGACATTGTTAGCAATGATAATAGCTTCAACTAGACAAAAAAAAAAGCTATCAATACCCCCCAATGGGAAATTGATTATAGCAAAGATTTTTATCTTGATTATTGCTTTTTCCTGCAAGTTTAGATTATATAAAACAATCATCATGAAAAGGAGGCCAAAAGGGCCTATAAAAATGTCTTGGATTACAATTATTTGATTTCTTTGCCAAGTGGTAAAATATGGAAGCCAAGAGTAAGATTGATTTGGAATCCAAATTAATTTTTAAACATAATGGATGAGAATGGCAGAATAGCATAAACATCTCACGAAATATGGAAAAGTAGCAGAAACAAAAACAAATCTCTAGAAAGCTCAACGTGAGATCTAAACAGGCTTCATCATTCCAAGTATATTCAAATATGTCACAAATCAAAGATGGAATGGATGTGTCTTCTCTATAACGGTTTTCATTATGAATGACAACAAAACCACCATGTTTGGACCAAAGCCAAGAGCAACTGTATCATACCACATATACACTGAAGATAACCTCTGCTGAAGGTGACCCAGTCTTGAAAGCAGGGAGGAATTGTTTTATAAGCTATGTCAAGGAGGGAAATATAGCAATAGTATTGGGGGAGGGGCAGAGGAAATCGCAGCAGATATTAATGTACAAAATAGGGGTGATCCAGAGGACATCGGTAACTATTAGCCCATATAACTACAGTCTCATCTTTATGAAATCTTTGTGAGAAAAGTATACACACATATATTTGTATGTATACTCCAAGGGTATGCTTTATGAAAATGGAATAGACAGGGTTTTCTAGAGCAAACCACATCCTTAAATCACACCATTGCTTGAAATGTTCAGAGAACACAAAATTCTGCTATTAAATTTGTTGATTACAAAAGAAAAAGAAAGAAAAGAAAAGCATTTCACTTGACCCAATGGTTGAACAAAATGCAGTCTTAAAATATATTCTCCAACATTAATATTTATATGTTAAGATCATACAAAATTCCTTGATAAACTCAAAGATAACTGGTCGGTGACCTAATTCTTAATGCTAATTGAGGCATAAAATAGGGAGTGCTAGAGCCACTAAATGTGGACTCTAATGTCCCAGATGTCCTACATAGGGAGGACTCCCTGTAGATGTGTAGGAGATTCCAGGTCCTCCTTTTAGAGGATGATATTGGGCTGATAGTACCAAGCCCCCGGACATAAAGAGACTCCTTATTGCCAACCATAATGATTCAAAAAAGATTAGCTTAACAATTTATACCAAAAAGAAAAAAAAACCCCGAATGGATGAAAATGCTTCTTTATGAAGACTATAATAACATGCAGTTGGATGGTTAGTCCATTAAGTTAGTACATATATTCAGGACAGACATTGCTGTTGAACAATGATTTGGGCCCAGAACTGAACAAAAGGAAGAGATTAGACAGGCTTGGACTGGGGAAGTTTTCTAGCATTTTTGACAAGCCAAAATTACTATTAGGCACAACAACCCCACCCTTAACATTCATAAATACGTCCTCCTGATAGCCTGGTGTAATCACAAACCTTGGGACATCATCATTTCCAGAGGTGGGTCTGCAGCATCTTACTAATGTGCCCAAAGCTGGCTACCTGGGAAATGAGAGGAAAGGGTAGATACGTTTAACGCCCAAGGGCTGCACTGGGACCTACAGAAAGCTAATCACCAGAGAGAGGCTCCCAGCACTTTAAAAAGGTGTGTGTGCTCCATGGCAAACACACAGGAGAGCAGAGTCAAGAATCTCACAGGATGAGGAGATTTGCATGGGTCGCAAGCAGCACAAATGGAGGGGATACCCATATGGGCGATCAGAAATCTGCTGAATTATTAAAGGGGTCTGTTTCAGACATTCTATCATCCTGACAATCTATGAGTCTAAACACTGAAGATTCATTTGTAGCAGCAACTTATCAGAGCAACCTCCTTCTTCCAGGCAGCCTTTGAGAGTCACTGCCCAAACCACCAGCATGGTACTGAAGATTCCAAGGTACCACAACCAGAGTAATCATTCCAATTTACAATATCCTAAGGTCAGTTCTGTTGATGTAATAAATTCTTCTCTCACGACCCCCAATCTCATCCCTAGGGCTTGCAGCACCCTACTCTTTCAGGAGACTGGAGAGAGCACAGGAGAGAGCCAGACAGAACGGTCAGGTCCCTGGGGCTTTTGGGCGGGCAAACTCTAATTAAACCCAGAGCCCTCTGACTGCTCTGCCTAATTGTGAATGCTGAAGACTTGCACTTCCTGTTTAATTATGGAAAAGAGTCGAGGTAGGGATAGGGTGGGGGGGGAGGTAGGGGATGGAGGGATGGGGTGAAGAGGAGGCTTCTTTTGAGACTCTCCTGCTTCCTTAAGGTTCTTAATCAGAACTGTACATCCAGAGCTTTGAGAGAGATGCTTGGCTTCTCAGAAATGTGCTTGTCTGGCCAAAGGCTTTGGAAATCTATGACAGGTAGGGAATAAAATCACGAACCCAGGATTGTTTGAGCTCTGGAGGTAGGGGGATAGATAAAATTACCTCTAAAAGATTCCTCCACAACAAAGGTTCTTAACCTGGGGTCTGTGAATTTGTTTTTTTTTTTTTAATATTTAAACACTGATATTTCAATAGAATTGATTTTCTTCATAATCCTATATATTTTATTTTATGTATTTATGAAGACATTCTGAGATTTTGAGAAGGGTTCCCTGGGCTTCCCCAGACTGGCAAAGGTTAAGAACTCCTGTTCTATTACCATTTTTTTAAACAGAAGACAAATACACACAAGTTGATATCTTATGGTGGAAAATATGCAATGTTTGGACCAGGAGTCAGAACACCTGAGTTTAAATCCCAGCTCTGACATTTCTAAGTTGGGTGAACAACAGTAAGTTATTTCCTTTCTCTGAGCTTCAGTTTCCTAATCTGTAAAATGAAGATACTGATCATTGCATTGCTCACCTTACAAGATTATTTCAAGGAAAGGGATTTGAAAACTGTGAAGTGTTGGAAACCAGAGCCACAGTGGTCTTTTTGATACTTGGAAAATTGGAGATTTCGAAGACCCTCCCCTCCATCTCTCGTGATACAGATCACAACTTCTCTAAACTAGCCTCAGCAGAAGGTCTTGGAGAATCACTGCAGTAGGAAAAATTCAAACACTGGTGACTAGTCTGGAAAGGACATTCTCAGAGCCTCTCTGGTCTGGCTTTAGGAAGATAGACAGTGCCTGCTCAAAGCCTTTCTAGCTTAGCTTGACCTACCTCAGCTTGGGCTCGGCGAGCATTACCTCTGAGGGCCCAAGGTCACCTCTACTCTTGATAAGCAATGGGAGGAGAACCTTGGGAAAGATTACTGCTCTTATCATTGTTAGTACTAGTACAGAATGTGGCAGGAAATTTAGAAATAATAGCTGTTCAACTCTTCTTGTGGTGGCAAAGAATTGGAAATTGAAGGGATGGCCATCAGGGAATGGCTGAACAAGATGTGGTGTATGATTATGATAAAATATTATTGTGCTGTAAGAAACGATAAGCAGGATGATTTCAGAAAAATCTGGAAAGAAATACATGATTTGATTCAGAGTGAAGTAAGTGAGTAGAACCAGGAGAACATTGTCCATAGTAACAGCAATATTGCATGATAATCAACTGTGAATGACTTAGCTATTCACAGCAATATGATCCAATATGATCCAAGACAATTCCAAAGTACTCATGATGAAAGATTCTATCCACCTCCAGAGAAAGAACTGGTGGAGTCTGAGTGTAGATTGAAGCTTTTTTTTAAACTTGTCTTTATTTTTCTTGAGGTTTTTTTGGTCTGTTTTCTTTCATAACATGACTGATGTGGAAATATGCTTTACCTGACTGCACACGTGTGTATAACCTATATCAAATTGCTTGTCTTCTCAATGAGGGTGGAGGGGAGAGAAGGAGGGAATTTGGAACTCAAATTTTAAAAAAATAAATGTTAAAAATTTATATATATACACAATTATAAAAATATAAAAAAATAAAACCCAAAAATTTTAAAAAGAAATAATAGCTATTCTATCCTATTCAATCATACATTATATTACATTGTATTATTCTGTTACCTTGTATTGTTATGTTTTGTTATGTCATATTATTATTACATATATGTGTGTGTGTGTGTGTGTGTGTGTGTGTGTGTTTATATAGCGAGCATTTATCATCTGATAGCCCAGACCCTTCACTTTACAGAAGAGACCCTTGAAGCCCTGAGAAAGGAAGCAATTGGTCCACAGTTACACAGCTGGTTTATGATAGAGCTAGGGCTGGAAATCAAGTCATTTGACTCCCATTCCAGGACTCTTTCCATCTTGCCCAGATAACCTCTATTCTTACACTTGGTCATCCGACCTTATGGTCCCACTAGGCATCTAGAGTCTCTCTCCTCAATGCCATCTCACAAATCAGGATACTGATCCTCAGAGAGATTTAAGTACCTTTCTTCAGGCCATACCATGAGTGGTAGAGCCCAGCCTGGAATCCAGTCATTCAAATTTCCAGTCCTTCCCAATTAATCCAAGCAGCCACACATTTCCTGCCTACTCCCTACCCCATCCAAGTACATTGAGGGTTTGCTGCTCCAGGGAGCAACCCAAACCCAGAAGGATCAGTCTCAGAACATTCTCTTCAGGCATAAGGAAACTCAGGCACAGAGGTTTTCGTTTCATTGTTCAAGGGCACCCAAGAAATAAAATCATAGATATAGAGCTATAGGGTCTTAGAAGTCATCTAGTCCAACCTGTGGCTTGTCCAAGGTCACACAACTCATCAGTGACAGAGTCAAGATGGGAAACAAGGTTTCCTGACTCCAGTGCTAGCACTCTCCATAGCAAGTCATGCACTGCCTTCTGAGCAGGGACTATGCAGGATGCAAATCATTACATTATAAAGCAGTTCAGGACAGGGGAAAGAGCCAGACCAGGAATCAGAATACCCTTATTCTAATCTTAGCTCAGCCATTCACAAATTAAATAGCTGGGCCTTAGTTTCCCACTCTGTTAAATGGGGAGATTATCCTGATCTTTTAGGTACCTTCTCACTCTAATATTCTATCAATCTGGAGCTATACCACCCTCATACAGATGTGATCCATCACCACAAAAGCACCTTCTCTTCTCTACTGGTGAGGCCTCTAGGCTTGGGCAGGAGATTAAAAAGTAATAAGATTGGGGCCAGAGCTGTCAACTCAGTATGCTTATAACCAGGCCTGGAGAGGGTGGATAATTAAGGAAGTAGAATGTCTGTATGGTCTTAAAAGAAGGAATTTTAAAAGAAGGATTTTTGGTAGGAGAGACAAAGAAATAGGAGGGATTTCAGTTTGCCTCAGTGGAAGGAAAGGGGCAAAACTACTAAGGATTGTGGTTGATACAAATGAGAGTGGTGATGAAGTATGATGGGAGCTCCTTGAGGGCAGGAATTGTCTCATTTTTTTTATATTCGTTTCTCCAGAGCCTAGCACAGTGCTGGATATAAAGCAGGCACTTAAGAAAGGTTATTGACTAATTGATGTGGCATGGTCACTGTTGGCTCAGTAGAAGAAAGAAGAAAGTTAGGAGGGTTTATTGTTCATTTCAGTGGCAAGACTAAGGAAGTTGAAAAGTTGGTTTCAGTGAGAGGAAGCAGGAAGAAGGAGAGTCTGTGGTTGGTTTCCTTGGGAAAAGCCATGTATTGGTGGGAGGGATGGGGGGGGATCCCTGGTGTAGGCATAAAGTGGCTTGGATTTAAGTCAATGACTCCTTATATAACATTGGGCTAGGCCCTTCCAGCCTGTTGGCCTCAGTTTACTTATTTGTAAAATAAGAGGTTTGGACAAGGTGACCTCTAAAGTCTCTTCCAGGTCTGGATCCAGACCTTACCATCTTTAAGGTAGTAGTATAACAGAAGACTGGAACAACTAGGTGGCATGGTGGATAGCGGACTTGGGCTTGGAGTCAGGAAGACATCTTCCTGAGTTCAAATCCTGCTTTAAACACTTACTAGCTTGTGATCCTGGGCACATCACTTAACTCTGTTTGCCTCTGTTTTCTCATCTGTAAAATGACCTGAAGAAGGAAATGGCAAACCACTTCAGTATCTTTGCCAAGAAAACCCCAAACGGGGTCATGAAGAGTCAGACATAACTGAAGTGACTGAAGAACAACAGGATTGGTGCGTACACCAAGCACTCAGGACAATATCTCCCCCCTTGGACAAGCAGGGAGCCCTCTTAGAGGGAACTACATTATGCTGCATAAGTGTCTTGAAGAGGCTGCAGCATGTGTAGGCACTCTGTAGTGGTTCCAGTCAGCTGAAAAGGAGGCTCTTTCAGCTCTGAAGGACCTATGATGAAAAATGCTATCCATCCCCAGAGAAAGAACTGATGGTTTCTGAATACAGATTGAAGCTTACTTTTTTATTTTTCTTGAGTTTTTTTTGTCTATGTTTTCTTTCATAACATGACTATTATGGATATGTTTTGTGTGACTACACATGTATAACCTATATTGAATTGCTTGCCTTCTCAATGGGGGGGAGGAAGAAGGAAGAGACTTTGGAACTCGAAGTTTTGAAAACAAGTGTTAAAAATTGTTTTTACATGTAACTGGGAAAACATTTAAAAATAAATAAAAGGAATATTAATTTTGAAAAAAAATTAAATTAAAAGGAGGCTCTTTGATGGGCTCCAGTCATTAAAAAAGATCTGTCCACTTCAGACTCCTCTTCTTTGCTTCGGTGTTCTTGGGGGAACTTGGATTCTGGGAGTGCAGCCTACAACTTTGTGAATTCTAAAAGCCTGGGGGCTCAACATCCCATCTTCCAGAGTTTGGGATGTCCCTGAGGTACAAAGGGAGTGGAGCCTCCATCAGCATCCTAGTGTTCCCGAATTCAAGTTGACAGCCAGCATAGTAGCATCAATGCCTCAAGGAGTGAGGAGTGACCTTCAGGAATGTAAGGATCTCAATGGCCTCCCAACTCACTATGCAAAGAAGGCAGGGAAAGTAAGTTTCACAGCCAAAGAAGGGTTGCAAGAATAAC